CCACAAAAGCCCTAGAAACCCTAGAAACCCCTCAACCCCTAAACCCCTAAACCCTAGACCCCCTGAGCTTAAACCGCAGTGTTGCCATCAGCGCTCACAAAATTCGGGTGCCTATATTGGGTGCTATGAGTAGAGTGTTCTCGCCTTAACCCTAAACCCTGAACCCTAAACTTAACCTACACCCTAACCCTAAACCTTATGATAAACCTGCACCCTAGCCCTAAACCCTAAACCTAAACCCTAAACCCTAAACCCCAAACCTAAACCTTATTTTGGGAACTACGGTACCCATCCCTTTTTCAGGTTTTTGTGCAGCGGCGGCTTGAGCAAGAGGCGGCAGAGCTCAAAAGCCTATGCAGACCTGGTGGCTTGGAAGCACACCTTGATTGAGGGTTCGGGGTTTAGGGTTTAGGGTTTAGGGTTTAGGGTTTAGGGTTTAGGGTTTAGGGTTTAGGGCTCAGGGCTTAGGGTTTAGGGTTTAGGGTTTAGGCATGTTTCGGGTTTAGGATGTTTAGGGTTTAGGAATGTACGCCTTTGCCACAAGTGAAGGGGGCCTAAACCCGAAGCCCTAAACCCTACGCCTACCATATCCCATACCCTATACCCTATACCTTATACCCTATACCCTATAGCCTTAAAGGTGCGGGAAGGACACCGTGCAAAGAACACGGTGGCCGCGCGAACCATCGCGAACGACCTCCCGCGGACTGGGTGCGAGCAAAACTTGATTCTTGGTAGTTTAGTGGTACCCTTCTCCGATTTTTTCGGTGCAAGGTTCCCTTGTAAAGGAACCACCCCTTGGGAGAGTAATAATACTAATGATCACAATAATAATGAAAGAGATAATACTAATCATGATCATAATACCAACAATAAATAACAATAATAATAATAATAATAATAATAATCATAATAATAATATCAATAATAATAATAATCATAATAGTAATAATATCAATAATAATAATAATTAATATATAATCATAATCATAATAGTAAAAATCTTGTTACAAGAGGGTTTCAAGGGCCATCCGAGGATCTCACCCTTGGAGAATGTGCTCCTCGCTTACGCAGCGCCCTGGCGCCGATGTGAGCAGAACTCTTTTTGGTCCTCTGCCCGGGGGAGCTGTGGCACACAGTTGTTGCGCGAAGCCCTAGAACCCCGAGATCCAAAGGTTTAGGGTTTAGGGTTTAGGGTTTAGGGTTTGGGGTTTAGGGTTTGGGGTTTAGGGTTTAGGGTTTAGGGTTTAGGGTTTAGGGCAGCCAAGCACCCTGCCCGCCAGGTGTGGAACCCGGTCATCGGGTACTGCCAATCCATGAACTTCATTGTTGCCACTTTCCTTCTGTGCCATGGCTTTGGTCTAAGATCTGTGGTGTGGTTTAGGGCTTAGGGCTTAGGGTTTAGGGTTTAGGGTTTAGGGTTAAGGGTTAAGGGCTTAGGGCTTAGGGCTTAGCGCTTAGGAGCCATGCTATGTCTTTGTTGCTGCGGGCCTCGCGCTTTGCGAGGAGTCCTTGCATACTCAGCCCGACTTCCCTTGACTGAGCGGTGGCCCCCCGAGGTACAGCTGCGAAGAGCATGCTTTCTGGATGCTGTGCAGCGTGATCGAGGAAATCATGCCAGCGGGCTACTACACCGAAGACCTTCGCGGGCTACGCTCCGCGCGGCCCTGAGAGTCCTTCGCTCTCTCTCTCTCCCTCTCTCTCTCTCTCTCTGTCTCTCTCTTTCTCTGATATAGGGGCCTCAAAAAATTAGAACGGGCTTTTTGCGGGGTTCTTATAGTAGAATTATATAGGGACAATAAGGGAATGCTAGTACGACCCCTATATTAGGTGATTCTTGTTTTTGTCTTTGGGGGGGGGAGCTGCGCTTGTGTCCTAGGATGGAAGCCTTGTGAGTCAGGACTTGCACGTTTTCAACTGGTGCATCGAGCAGTACCTGCCGCAGCTCCACCAGCACTTTTGCAGGACGGAAGCTCTTGTTTTTGGGGTTCATCTCTGTTCTCATTACATGCCAGCAGGGTCAGTAGAGTGCGGCTATTGTGCAGCCAATGTGAGCCCATGCCACAAGAACTCGGCAGGAACGCCATCGATGCGGCTCCGATTTTCATGAACTGGTTCCTCTGCTTGTTTGCGGCAGCCTCAGCTGCGGTGGTGGGCAGTGCAACCCTAAACCCTAAACCCTAAACCCTACACCCTAAACCCTAAACCCTAAACCCTAGACCCTAAACCCTAGTGCCATCGAAGTTAGCATCCACGCTCCGAGACTCCCAGGTCAACACACTGCCTCAGGAGCATGCGCACCGCGCCTTGGACTGCGTGCTGCACGAGGGTCACAAGGCGCTCTTCCGCATAGGACCCCGATCGAATGACATGGTTCATTTAAAAGGAGAGTTGTTTAGGGTTTAGGGTTTAGGGTTTAGGGTTTAGGGTTCAGGGTCTAGGGTTTGGGGTTTAGTGTTTAGGGTTTGCGGTACCCTGAATTTCCCTCCGAAAAATCAGCCCTTTCAGGGGTTGTGTGGGGGCCCCTGGTTCCCCAAGTTCTTGCTGCGAGCTCGTAAGTAGAGGTTTAGATTTAGTTTATTGGTGTCCTTTTATCTTCTGAAAGTCTCCGTTTCCCGAATTCCCAAGCCCTGACACCTAAACTCTCCAAACCCTAAACTCTCCAAACCCTAAACCCTAAACCCTAAGCCCTAAACCCTAAACCCTAAACCCTAAACCCTAAGCCCTAAGCCCTAAACCCTAAGCCCTAAACCCTAAACCCTGCGTACAGCGGCAGGACTTGGGATTCTCGCCCTGCGGCAGAAAGAGCTGCTCGGAACAAGCAACGTGGTCGAGGCTTTGGCGACCGAAGGTTATCATGTGGTTCTTAGGATGTTCCCCCTTGTACTAGCAGTCCATAATCGGGTACTATAATCCCGAGTGAGAACTGTCAGTACAAGGGGGGAACATCCCAAATTTGTTTCTTAGTAATACATCAAGGGTTAAGGTTTTGGATTGAGGGTTTAGGGTTGGGTGCTCTTGGCAGGCAACCCAGCAACTGGGTACCTTGCAAAGTCCCCTAAGCAAACCCTGAAACTACGGCTACACTGTGTGTGTGTGTGTGTGTGTGTGTCCTGGGCAGGCGTACTCGTTTCTTCGCCAGCCATTTGGAGAGGGCCACCGGGTGCCGAGTGATGAGTCTTAGTAGCAGAGTAGGCAACCTTTTGACCTTTTGGGGGGTAATATAATACCCTTATAATCCCAAAGGCTAACCTAACCCTAAACCCAAAACCCTACCCTCAACCCTAAACCCAAAACCCTCAACCCTCAACCCTCAACCCTAAACCCTAAACCTTAGGTACTGGACATCTAAGGAGCTGAGCTTCGTGGACATCTCGGCCAAGCAGATGCTTGACGCTGCATACGGCCCACTCTTCAAGAGCTTCAGGCAGCAGATGTCAGGGTTTAGGGTTTAGGGTTTAGGGTTTAGGGTTTAGGGTTTAGGGTGGGATGTTCCCCCCTATACTAGCAGTCCTTAATAGGGTACGGGGGAACATCCCAACCCTAAACCCTTAACCCTGAACCCTAAATTCTTAAAACCCTAAACCCGAAAACCCTCCAGGAACAGCAGGCATAGGCCCCTGTCATCCTTCACAGGGCTCACGAGATGACACTTATCGTGCTTGTCCCCGGAGTAGGAATTGATGGGTTTAGGGTTTAGGGTTTAGGGTTCAGGGTTCAGGGTTTTTAGGGTTTCGGGTTTAGGGTTTAGGGTGGCAGGTCGGCGCAGATCATGAAGATTCGTGAGATGTGCGTTGCGCGGGTGCAAGCAGAGGATGAGGAGGCCCACAGAGTTCGAGAGGTGAGTCATGCTGGGTTCCGTGAATAGGGTCCCTTTGGGAGGGTTTAGGGTTTAGGGTTTAGGGTTTAGGGTTTAGGGTTTAGGGTTTAGGGTTTAGGGTTTAGGGTTTAGGGTTTAGGGTTTGGGTTTAGGGTTTAGGGTTTAGGGTTTAGGGTTTAGGGTTTAGGGTTTAGGGTTTAGGGTTTAGGGTTTAGGGTTTAGGGTTTAGGGTTTAGGGTTTAGGGTTTAGGGTTTAGGGTTTAGGGATCATATTTGTTTTAGGGTGCCCAAAGTCATAAAAGGCATAGTCATGTAGAGAGCTGACCTCACTTCTCCTCTCTGTAAGTCACGGCTTTCATAGACGGGCAGAAGAACATGGCACACATTCCTGAGAGGCTGCCGCCAGAAAGAGGGCCTGGGCAGACCTCAACGCGAAGCCACAGGTGACTGAGGAGACCCTGCGCAATTTGTGGATGCCACCCTTCCAGCCAATATGAATGAAATTCAGCTAGACTGAGAAGTTGGTATGCTTTATATGCAAAATATGTGTATAATTCATAGCATAGATATTTAATATGTTAAGGGATGTCCCTGTGCCAAAATGCTTTGAACTGTCTACAGAAAAGTCCCGAAACCTCCCAATCGAATCCAGAAAGCCCCTTCTGAAACCCCAGGGCCTGCGCCGGGGGGGGACCTCTTCGCACGCCCAACGAAGGCTTAGGTTCAAGGCAGTTTTCTTGGCTTATTTGTTTTTGTGTTTTTCTTGGGGGAGTTAAGGGGTTTATTAGAGCGCTTAGTAGAATGTATGGGTTTTGGGGAAGTCCATGCACAGCGACCGGAGCCATGTCTTTGCCGCAGCTGGTGCTTCTGTTGCTCAATTTTTGGGGTAGCCCTAAACCTAAACTCTAGTTTCCCACTCACCACAGAGCAACACCACGAAATCATCATCTGTGCCTTTCGATGCCCCACCCTCCCCTTCCCCATAGGAACCTAATCCTTCAAGCTACATCCCATGATCCTAAACCCTAAACCCTAAACCCTAAACGCTAAACCCTAAACCCTAAACCCTAAACCCTAAACCCTAAACCCTAAACCCTAAACCCTAAACCCTAAACCCTAAACCCTACATGGCAAGCTGGGACCTTCGCAGCCTTCTCCTTTGCCTCGGCCGTGTGAGCCCATGATCGCCCTGAAGCGGAAGCAGCCGGAGCAGAGCTCCAACGGCCAGGCTGGGCGGCAGTTAGGGTTTAGGGTTTAGGGTTTAGGGTTCAGGGTTTAGGGTTTGGGGTTTCGGATTTAGGGTTTAGGGTTTGGGGTTTAGGGTTTAGGGTTTGGGGTTTAGGGGTTTGGGGTTTGGGGGTTTAGGGTTTAGGGTTTAGGGTCCAGGTTTGAGGAGTTGAGGAGCTGAGGAGTTCAGGGTCTAGGGCTGAGGAGTTGAGGGGTTGAGGGGTTGAGGGGCTGAGGGGTTGAGGGGTTGAGGGGTTCAGGGCTCAGAGGTTGCGGGTTCAGGGGTTTAGGGGTTCAGGGGTTCGGGGTCTAGGATTCGTAAGTACCCCTAAATCCGCAGTATGATCCCGAACCTTTTCCCTTTCGGCCTCATGATTCCTTAAATCCTCCAGGGCTTATGTAAGAGCTTTAGAAGCCCGGGGAGGCGCCGCTCAACAGGCCCCTGTGAGCCTTTCGAAGCACTATAAGCCTCATAGTATCTTTGCACATATGTACATCTATGTAAATACAATACACATATATATATATATATGTATATAATTATGTGTGTATGTATGTCTGTCTGTATGTATGTCTGTATGTATGTATGTATGTATGTATGTATGTATGTATGTATGTATGTATGTATGTATGTATGTATGTATGTCTACTTGTGGATATGTAAAATGTATTGCCCTGCAATAAGCAGTTCATCCTCCTGGGACGCGACGGCCGGAGCCGGCCGGTGGTGGACCGCGAGAGCGTGCATCGGGAGCTGGCGACCACGAAAGTGGGCCGCTGGGCTTGACATTCTTGTCTATTAAAGGGCTTAGGGTTTAGGGTTTAGGGTTAAACAAACTCCGTTTTTCAAGAGAGTTGAACCAGGGTATTGGGCTCGCAGGGTTTGGGGCTCGAATATTGGTTGGGAATGGTTTGGTTAAGGGTATAGGGTATAGGGTATAGGGTATAGGGTATGGGGTTTAGGGTTTAGGGTTTAGGGCTTAGGGCTGGTGGTTCTTGTGGTGTCGGGTTGGAGACGCACTGTTCACATGGCTTTGTCCTTGGAGCCCGCCGCAGGCTTCGGGAAGTACAAAAACCTGACGTTTCAGGAGGTTGCAGAGGAGGATGCCGATTACTGCAGTTGGGTTTTGTCGCAGGATGGTACCCTCAACATGCGGATGAACAGGCTGCAGGCCTTCCTCAGAAACCTTTCAAAATTGAAAGAGCTGCAAAGTGCACAGCAGAGCGCGCAGCAGAGCGCACAGCAGAGCGCACAGCAGAGCACGCTGCAGATCGCTCAGAAGAGCACGCAGCCAAGCACACAGCCGATGACACAGCCCATCGCACAGCCCATCGCGCAGCCAATCGCGCAGCCGATCGCACAGCCGATCACGCAGCCGATCGCGCAGCCGATCGCGCAGCCGAGCACGCCATCGTCAGGCGTTGTGCGAAGTGCAGCTGCCACAGCCCCTGCACATGCTCCAACGGCTCTCATTGCTCTCGAGGAAGGCATCAGATCTGAGGTCAGAACTGCAGCGAGGCCCTTGGCCCAAAGCTCGCAAGCGGTCGCTGTCGGCAAGCTGCTTTCCATGGGTTTCGCCGAGGCCGATGCTGAGGAGGCCCTGGCCAAGGTTGGAAACGACCTGGAGGCCGCCTTGGACATCCTCGTGTCCATCGAGGCCCCTGAGGCCCAGGCTCTTGAGGCCCAGGCCCCTGCGCCCCCTCCGCCGCCGAACCGCGTGCCTGCGGGCACGGTCCGAAGCCCAGCACTTCAGATGCTCCGCCAAGCCCCATCCCAGTCTTTGCCAAGGAAGATGCCTGAGCAAGCGATCTGTTGCGATGACAGCTCGGACAGTGATGTACAAATCGCCTTCGACTAGCGACGACTCTGCGCGAGCCGCATATGGGGGTTTCCGAAATTGGGGATACCTCATTGGGGTCCTTAGTTTTAAGGGAAACCTACTATTTGGGGGTCTATATTAGGGGTCCCTTACTTTCGTAACCCCCATATCGAGTGGGGGATAGCTCGGACACTGTACAGTGGGTGCGGCACCGGGAGCGCAGATGGAAGAAAGGAGAGCTAGCTCGGTGCACTGCAGACACTGGATGCGGGATCCCCCGAAACATAGCAGCAACCCAGCCAACACGCAGCAAAAACGAACCCCCTAAACCCTAAACCCTAAACCTAAGCCCTAAACCCTCAACCCTAAGCCCTAAAACCCAAACCCAAAAACATAAGAACAAAAACCTACAAATCCACAAGACAGGAGTCTCCACCATCTCCGCCTACATCGCCTGCGGTCAAGGGCTACCTCTCAGCAGGGCCCGAGGCTGGAGAGGTCGTATTCTAAACCCTAAGCCTTAAACCCTAAACCCTAATCCCTAAACCCTAAACCCTAAACCCTAAACCCTAAACCCTAAACCCAAACCCTAAATTTAAGAGCCTCCGGCTCAAGCCGCCGACCCCGCTGGAGCATAGTTGAGAGGTCTGAACCCGCTCGCATGGAAGATCATCCCAACCTGCTCGGCAGAGTTCTGTGAATCGTTTGGGGGGGGGTAGGGGGTAGCACAGGGGGTGGGGGGGGGGGGTTGGGGGTGGGGGGGGTTGGGGTGGGTGGGTGGGGGGGGGGGGTAGTGGCCACGAAAAAATTGTGCACCGACCCCCCCCACCCCCCCCCCCCCCCCCGCCCCCCCCCCCCCCACGTTTTGGGGGGGGTAAGGAGGGAAAGAGGGAGGTTTTCACCTCCTTTTCCCATCCAACACGCCGCCAGGGTCGGCGGACCCTAAACCCTAAACCCTAAACCCCAAACCCTAAACCCTGACACCCTAAACCCCTAAACCCCTAAACCCCTAAACCCCTAAACCCCTAAACCCCTAAACCCCTAAACCCCTAAACCCCTAAACCCCTAAACCCCTAAACCCTAAACCCTAAAACCCGAAACCCTCAACCCCTAAACCCTAAAACCGTAAAGCTCAAATCATCCTAATTCAACACGGGCTTCGAGTATCAGGGGTGTGAGAGCCCCTCAAGAGCCCAAAAATCCCTGGATCCTTGGGCAGGAACTCCGTAGTGCCGCCAAGGAGGAGAGGGCTTAAGGTTTAGGATTTAGGGCTTAGGGCTTAGGGTTTAGGGTTTAGGGTTTAGGGCTTGGGGGGGCGGGGGGGGGGGGGGGGAGGGCTTCGAAGGGTTAGGCTTTTTTGGGGACTGCGAGGGTTTGAGGGTTTCGGGGCTGAGGGTCCGTGGTTGAGGGCTTAGGGCTACTCCAGGTCTTAAGGGTTTTGCAAGAATTAGATGCTTTAGGGCAGGAGTCTTAGGGATGTGGGGGCTGCCAACCAGCCTGAAAGGGCTGAAAGCATCCCAAGGATGGGTTTCGGGGGTTGGTGGGTCTCGGGTTCCCCTAAACCCTAAACCCTAAACCCTAAACCCTAAACCCTAAACCCTAAACCCTAAACCCTAAACCCTAAACCCTAAACCCTAAACCCTAAACCCTAAACCCTAAACCCTAAACCCCAAACCCTAAACCCTAAACCCTAAACCCTACTTAGGGCGACGGCAGAGGCCCCACTCATCTTGGAGAGGTGCTGACAGGATGAAGAGACGAAGGGGTTCGGGGATTTCAAGACCCTTGAAGCCTTCTCTAGAAGCAACCAGAGGGGGGCTTGTTCCGAATGCCCTAAACCCGAAACCCTGCCCTAAACCCTAAACCCTAAACCCTCAACCCTGCCCTAAACCCTACACTCTCTAGACCCTAAACCCTCAACTCTAACACCCTTAGTGTTCCTTCTTTTTTGCGGGACTTTCGTGGTAGAGGACCCTTAGGCCCTAAACGCCGTTGAGGACCAACATTATTCAGGAACATACTTTCAACGAGACTAAATCCTTCGGAACCTGGAGGATTTCCCTACATCCTTCAGAGCCTGACCCCATAAAGCCTCCATAAAGCCCGACAAGAGCTATAAGCCCGATAACAACTCATAAACAATCCTATCACCCTGTAGGAAATTCTATATAAAACCCTATAGCAACCCGACAAAAACCCGATTAATCACCCCATACAAACCCTGTAAACGCCCTATGAAGAGCCTGTAAAACCCACCCATTCTGAATCAGCCCTATAGAAACCCCTAAACCCTAAACCCTAACCCGTAAACCCCTAAACCCTGAACCCTAAACCCTAAACCCTAAACCCTAAACCCTCAACCCTAACCCTAAACCCTAAACCCTAAACCCTAAACCCTAAACCCTGTTAAGAACACATGGAGGAGCTGCTTGAGCCCCCACGCAGCACACCCCGGGCAGCACAGGAGTCTGTGGAGGAGGCCTGGGTTGAGGGTTGAGGGGTTCAGGGTTCAGGGTTTAGGGTTTCGGGTTTAGGGTTTAGGGTTGCTAGGGCTTCGGGCCTTGGGCTGAAAAGGGTTCCCCTTGCGTCTTTGATGGACCGTGGGGTTGTTAGGAAGATCTGCAAAAAGACCGCCACACTGAAGGCACTGCCAAGTCCCCATGGTAGTCCGTGTCACCCTAAGCCCTAATCCCTAAACCCTAAAACCTAAACCCTGAACCCCACAACCCCGAAACCCCTCAACCCTCAACCCTCAGCCCTCAACCCTCAACCCTCAACCGCATTTGTTGCAGGTCATCCCTTGAAAAGTCGCCCCCCCCCCCCCCCCCCCCCCCCCCCTTCAGTGATGGGAATGGACTTTGCCCTACACGAGCGTTTTCCGAAAACAAATGTATTCAAATGGTTCATATGGGTAGAGGCATACGTGCATGCTGTCTCTGTCTCCGGCTCTGTCTCTGTCTCCGTCTCCGTCTTTGTCTCTGTCTCTGTCTCTGGCTCTCTCTCTCTCTCTCTCCCTCCCTCCCTCCCTCTCATCTCCCTCTCTCTCTCGTTCTCTCTGTCTCTCTCTCCCTCTCTTTCTCTTTCTCTCTCTGTCTCTCTCTGCCTCTCTCTCTCTCTCGCTCTCTCTCTTTCTCTTTTTTTTTTTTTTCATCTCCCTTTCTCTCTCTCTCTCTCTCTCTCTCTTTCTCTTTTGACCTGACAGCGCTTTATGAACAGTTTGCACAGAGGCTTCATTCAGGGGCTTCCAAGCCAGGAAGAGGTGGTGGAGCTCCCTCAGCCCTCAACCCTCAACAACCATCAAATCAACCCGAACCCTATAAACCCAATAAACCCTGTAGACCCCATAACACCCATAAAAACACCCTAAACCCTAAACCCTAAACCCTAAACCCTAAACCCTAAACCCTAAACCCTAAACCCCAAGCCCTAAACCCTAAACCCTAAACCCTAAACCCTAAACCCTAATGCAGGTTCAGTCCTGGCTCTCCTTCGTGCGCACGGGCAGCGCGCCCGAGATCGCCTCGCCCTGCCTCGAGAAGGGCAGCCCAATCCGATCGTCCCGGAAGGCCGTCACGACGACGGTCGCCGAGGCCAGGACATTTTTTCCGGGGCTTCGGGAGAAGGTTGCAATATAGTTTTTGCTGCAGATACGGTTTAGGGTTTAGGGTTTAGGGTTTAGGGTTTAGGGTTTAGGGTTTAGGGCTTGGGCTTTAGGGTTTAGGGTTTAGGGTCACGCTACTTCGGAGTTCTCACGCACCTTCGGGGGAAGCGGTCGCCGAGCCCAGGTTAGGCAGGCAACGCAAGTCACAACGCCGCTGGCAATGCCGGTGGCAACTGCTGTGGCAATGCCTGCGGCGCTGCCCGTGCCTCTACGACGACCGGTCGTGGTCAATCATCTGCCTCAAAAGTTCATGCCGTGCCCTTACCCGGCGAGGAGTGCACAGGCGACCTGGGGCCAAGTAGAGTCAGGGAAGGTTGGAGCTGTCGGTTTCGGAGCTTCCCCAAGTCCTGGCAGGCGGTGCCGCAGACCCGCGGGACGCCGGTCGGTGGCATCAAGTCGGTGCACATGATCCCAGGAGTCCCGGGACCGGCACTTCCAAGTCCCCGACCCACGGTGGTGGTGCACCATCTGCCAGTGGCCCGAGTTCTTGCACCCACTTCAAGCTACAGTCCGCTGGCTCAGGGCATGGGGGTGCAGGCATGGTCAGAGTATGTTAGAATGCTGCCCCTAAACCCTAAACCCTAAACCCTGGACCCTAAACCCTGGACCCTAAACCCTAAACCCTAAACCCTAAACCCTGAACCCTGAACCCTAAACCCTAAACCCTAAACCCTAAACCCTAAACCCTAAACCCTAAACCCTAAACCCTAAACCCTAAACCCTAAACTCTAAACCCTAAACCCTAAACCCTAAACTTGCATCCGCCTTGTGCCTCTGCTAGCAACTCCGAGGTCATGCCCGGGTGTGGACGACACCACAGCGCCTGCCAGTAGCATCTGGGTCTTGGAGTACTATACTTTAATACTTTTTTTGTGGTCTTGGGCTCCAATTATAGCTAATTATACCTTTTTTGGAGTACTATACTTTAATACTTTTTTTTGGTCTTGGGCTCCTATTATAGCAAATTATACCTAAAAAGTATATACTTTTTTTCCAGGGTCTACTCCAAAGCTAAGGCATCTTCATCCTTGGGCAGCACGCCCCTCGACTCCACTACTGCTGAGACCCTGGGGGGCGGTTCACGTGGTTTTTGATTCTCGAAACTTAAACCCTAAGCCCTAAACTCTATAAACTCTAAACCTCACCTCCCCCCCC